TATACATTTTACAGATTTTCAGTTACAGTATGATTTGATGACTCAAAGTTATGACAAATCTCTTAGCCATTTTTACTCAAGAGCATTTTTCTTTAGTAAATATGACACTGCGTTTTTTTTTTTTTCCTTTCTCCCTTCCTACTCCTCACCTTCTCCTTTCAGGCCTGCCTTGATTGCACATGCAGCACATTACACTTGCTTGAAACATGAGACTTAGTATATTGGGAAAAATAAATACTTTCATAAATGCTTATTTCCTAGTAAACATCTGCATTAAAAATAAATACTATATACATGCTTAATAACTTGTTTTGCAGCTTCATGCTTTTTGAATACTTTATAAGTAGCATTCAAATCTGTGTCTTCAAAAAAATTCTGAATACATGACCTTAGTCTATTTTACCCTCTCTGTAATGCTGAAATAATTTTGCCACAGTTGCTGCAAAGCAAACAAAATGGAAAATTTTGGAAAACATGGAAAAACAAAACTACGAAAGAATGTATTAATATGTGCTTGCTCTAAATTGTAGGATGTTCAAATCTAATGCTTTTTCCGATATTTCTTTAACCTGGTCAAATATGCTTTTGCCCAATACATAAATGATATTCTAATTTTACTCGGTTTTTGTCAAATCTTGTATTGAGGTATGAATTTTATCTAATGCACTATATTCCTAAATATTACCTGAACACATCTTAAATCCAACTGAAGCTATACTTTTTTTTTTTTTTAATAGTGGCAGTTAAGAGCTAGATAATTTTTTGAGAAGAGGCCACATTTTTAAGAAGTGAAGTAATTTAGAAGTCTTCCACTGGAAGATTTTAAACTAGATTAGCCTGTGGATTTTTCTTTTTAAAAAAGCCTCTACTACAAGTTAAAATAAAATACACAACTCATTTTTTCTTTTATCAAAACAGAATAGCTATTAATACTGTGCTAGAAGCACTTTATGCATACAGTGGTACAATCACTTAACTCTGGAGTACAGTGTGTGATGGAGGGCAAGCTTTACTTATTACATATTGAAAATACACTTCCTCATCCACGTGTCTGCTAAATATGGTTACATTATAAAGGGAACTATGAGGGAGCTATTTTTAAAGATTTGCATTAGTGAGTTATGGCCTCACAAGAAAAAGGGGATACTTATGAATCAAGCAATTCTTCGGCAAGATCTATCATTCTATGTGATTCATGCAAGACTGTAATAAAGCACTCAGGAAACCTATTAAATGCTTTAAGTATATACAACTTTTAAAGATTCATAAACCAAAATAAAAGCATCATTACATAAATATTTTCTAAACCAAACAGTAGAGGTCACATCTAGAAACAAATGATTTTCTAAAATAATTTGCTGAGTTTGTTAGAAAATGTCTTTCACACCAGCTTTAGAAACTCACATATTTCAAAATAGGTCTTCAATGTCAAGCAAGTATTTTCAGTATTTGATTACTCCTTAAGATTAAACTGTATATTGTTATAGGTACCCTCTGTTTTCACAATACTTTGGTTTCAAGCACACATTGTAACTCCTTTCACCAAACTATTACCTCTTAAAGTGCTGTGTCTCTGTGCCCTACATCAAACCTATCCACGTCAAATATAAAATATTAAAACAACTCCATATTTTACTACTATTCCTCTCAAAAATAAATTGTTCATGAGTCACTCACTAATCTTGTAAAAGATAAAAAAAAATTGTAGAATTCAGTTCAGTAAAACTTACATAGATGTATATAAAAGAATTTGTTTAATAAGTTCACTGTAAATTCTAAAAAAAGTTCATCACAAAAAGATCATGATTGATCCTTTTTTATGGACAAAACCATAATACCTAAACGTGCAGTTCTAGTGCATGCTACTATACTCAAATAGTCTATGTACATAATCTGACAGTGATTAAAAAGCACTGTCTTGGCCTGTCCACAATATATACATATGGCATAGTATATACATATTAGCATGTAAAAAAGTAGGTAACATGTCAATATGTTTTAGAGAGAAGTTAATAATTAAAAATATCCTAACTTTAATTCCATTTTTGGGCACAAGCCTATAGTCAGTAAGGCAAATTTCAGCCAACTAGTGAACCATTAGAATTAATCAGAATGTAATGTATTTTTTAAAGGAAGAATTTTAATTCCTTTCACAAGATATTATTTTAATATTTTAAACCATATGAACAAAAGGCTAAGACCCTGCATGCATAACACCTCAGCCATGTGAGGCAACACAGGCAACTAAAATGGAGATAAAAAAAAAAAATCTACATTAGCTAAACAGTTGTATACTGTTTTATTCCAGATTCATTACTGAATGATCTGCTGCATTCTCTGAAATACTCTTACTCAGTTAGCAAACCCAAAATGAGATACAGGTAACTTTTAGAAAAAAAATAGAATTTTCTAAAGCAGCCTTGTTTGAAGTAACACACAGCAGGAAAAGCTAGAAGGCCCATCAAGATTATTCCTTAAACCTGCAGTTTCAGCCATTTTATACTTCCATTTAACTTAGTGACCAACTTTCACATTCAGAAAAATCTCTTCTATAACATCCCCACAAACCTCCCTTTTCTCAGCTGCAGATTGGTAGGAAAGGGTGAAAATAAAATCCAGTAATTACAAAACATTTGTTGAGTGAAGAGCAAAGATGATGATAAAACTCACTAGTTTTCTAAGAAAGTTTGGCTTTAATAACAGAAAGTGCCAAACAAAATGGATACTGCAAAAATACTTTTATACTTCCTAAACTTTTATATACTTCCTAATACTTTTATACTTCCTAAACATCTCTTCTTAACAAGACCCCTACCAACTTGCATTTAAAATAACACTATTTCTACTACCACAAAGGTGTCCTGCATAATGGTACACACAGGAGAAAGCAGTAATGCAAGCAGAGGACACTTCTCTTACCTTGTGACAAGGTAAGATAAAAAAAAGACTCTGAAAACGTTCTCTGACATGGCAATACTCTGTGGGTCACACCCATACACAGCTTTGGCTGCATAGCTGAAAGCCTATCTTGTAGCTAGCATCTTATTACAATCCTTGAATTTACTCTAATCAAAAGAAACACAGTTTTAAGAACCAACAATAACACTAAAAATATTCAAATTTACTAAATAGCTCACCATCATTTAGTAATTATAAAAAATGAGCCTCCACAGCACTTCAGAAGCAGTGGTCACCTAACTTGGAATTAGAATAGGAATTATCTGAAGAAAAACAAGTTTTAAATTCATAATCTCTTAAAAACTAATACAGAAAATAAGGCAGAATATTTAAGAAAATATTTTTTAGAGAATTATGAACAAAGAATTAGAACATAAGAATCTCCTTTTCTTCTCACATGCAGGATTGTTATTCTGTTTTCAAGCCTAATTACGAGGATGGTTTATGAGAGAATTTGTGGGGTTTTGATATGTAGTGTATGCTTATATTTTCATGTAGTAAACAAGACATATGACTAATTTTCTACCATACTTCTTGATTGCAACATAAACATACAGTTCTTCACAGCATTTTCTCATCTTATCCTTTATGTCCTCAAATGTGCTATTTAACACTTCTAGAAAAAGCCTGAAGAAGAAAACTAATTACTGCCTTTTTCGCAGTAAAGCACAGTACATGTTGTTCCCAGGATTTCTTCCCACAATGAAATGGCCTTCCTGCATCTTTTATTTTTTTGCCAACAATAGGGCTGAAGAAAGCCCTTTATTTTCTTGTGGGCAGTTAAAAACTGTTGCCATCAGTTCTCAGCAGTATAAATGTATTAGCAGTCACTGCAACATCCTGCCTCTGTTTCAGAGTCTGGTACGAAGCAGGATCTAGGAGTACCTACCTAGCAGTAGTAGCTTGTCTATGTAAGAGAGACACAGTGTTACTGATGAGCTGAGCTTGTACAGGCACTCTGCCTCCAATTTGCAAATAAAAATACAGTCTGGCACAGAATCCTTGAAACTCTATCAACTTCTACAGTAAATCATAGGGTGTAATTGATACTAAAACCAACTATTCCAAGTTCAAGACATCTAGAATCAAAATGTGGCCCAGATACAAAGCTATGTGTTGCTTGCATGTATCAATTCGGACTTTTCTCATAACTCTGACTCCTTGAAATAAATTAAAAGATGTACTAATCTTTCCAGTTAAAAACAATAATTACATCTGAGCTAAAGAAGAGATCTTTTGCAGAAGAATCTAGTTGAAGCATACAGGACCTAAACAGAGCACTATTTTCTATACGAACTTATGACTTCGTTTTAATGAAAGCTCAGTAGATTCAATTAAAATCCACTTTCTGGTTGCTAAGCTCCATTATTTCACCTTCAAGAATTGTGAGCAGTTTCTATAGCTTTGCAAAGAGGCCACAATGACAGATATAAAGTCAAAATCAGCAGAAGTTATGGTCAACAGGAGCTATTCAATGGCACCTATTCTACATTTTTAATTAAATTTCTGCACCTACTAAAACGCTTTTTGACAGATTTTATTTTTTGTACTTCTGTTTCAGATAAGAAACGTCATTATCAAACCCTTTCATGATCTGCATTAATAGAGGTAGAATTAATACAATTTTTAATAGAAATTCCTCATAATCCACATTTCAGCTCATAAAATTTTTAATGATACTAATTTAATTACTTTTAGGATGCTTCTGTTGCTTTAGCATCACTAAATTGCTGGTTTGTTTATCTTTCTAGCCTGCTCTAAAACATGGACATTCACCCTGACAAGAGAAAATGAATTCTCTTGTGTTAAACAGATTATCTTGGTTCTTTATGTTTTAATCCACAGCGTAAATGTATTTGGCAGGTCAATAAGTGAATCAAGTCAATATTTCTGATGTAATGTTTCTGCTAAGTAAGTTTTTGTTGTGGGGGGTTTTCTGTTTGCTTTGTTTTGCCTTTTATAGCACATTTGCTTTGTTATAATCACAATGACAAAATGAAGAAAATGGAACTTTGACTCCTCATAAGGTCAGAGGATCAAACCTACCTGACTAGATTTTCATTGTCTCCAGTCCCTTTGCAGGTAGCACATTCCGTTCTTAAATCCTCTGACTTGGGCTTCTTTTGTAGAACAGACTGTCGTCGTCTTTCTCTGGGAATCCGTTCCTGTCACAGCAGAAGGCAAAAGAAAGGAATTGGGGGGAAAGGAAAGCAAATATTTCCAATTACGGTACTGAAAATAACACTTCAGCCTACAGTTTAATTTTTTCGTGAAACTGTTAAAAAAAAAAAACAACAAAACACAAACAAAACAAAACACTATAATCCAACCTCAGCTTTTTCTTCTTCAGGCACAAAGCTTCGTTTTCGTCCTCTAGTTCTCTAGAAGAAAATATATTTAAAATTCAATTATTAGGTAACGGAACATTTTTGCTATTTATCTATTATTCATAACAACAACAAAAACATACCACGGGAAATAATTTAAAGCATTAACAACAGAACCACTGCAAGACAACTACAATAACAAACATCAGAAGAACAGCTTCAGATTCTGAATATAAAACTACAGAACTAGCCAAAAAATAAAAATGTGTGTTGACCTGAGCATGTGGAGCCTTATTCTAAAATAGATTGCCACCAGAATTAAAAATCTCTTACAGACTTTCCATAAACTTCTCAATATTGAAGAGGTGTAATTTGAAAATTGAAAAGTGTATTACAGTAAATTACTTGAGCAGTTAGACGTGCTCTACGTGCAAGCAAAGTGATTGGACTAAAAAAAAAAATCAGAAATATAAAACTGCATGAAAACAGAAACAGAAAATAATTCTTATAGCTTTTGAGGAGTAAGCAAGAATTGAAGTTTTCAAATGGAAGCTTACTATGATGGGTATGTGGCAGATGCTCAAAAGCCGTAGCATATACATATGACTGGTACAAAAGAGATGGAATGGGTAATACAAAAGTGGAAGTTATTTCAGTATTGCAGTTGGCCAAAAAAACCTAAATACTAACAGTGTCGAGGAAAAGAGGTTTACAGGAATGGTAACAGCAAACACCAAAAGTTTACAGGCAGCTCTAACTACATGCCATTGAGTCCAGTTTGAGTCACTGTCTCTGAAAAAGCAGCATTATATCCTGCACGTATTAAATAACTGTTACAAGCTGACAATATTACACTCAAAAGAAAGAAAATTAGAAGGGATGCAGAAGGACATGACAAGTATTAGAGACTGAATACCACAATGTCTGAAACTTTTATACTAATAAAACAAACAAATAAACTTTTAAATGCTTGTTTTTCTGGGAGGAAATCATCATCTTAAGTAGTCATTCTTCATATGATTAAGAAAACACGGCCTACTTTAGGACTTTTTTTTGAAGAAGCTAGTGTTCCTCTCAGAAAATGTAAACAGCAGCTGATTAAAAAAAAAAATCTTCAGCCAGTTGAGAATCACAAGCTGCCATAACTCCAGTGATATGTTTCTCCTGTTTGGGATCCTCTTTGAAGGAGATTTATACTCGTGTCAAATTAAGACTCCTCACGATTTTAAACTATTTTACAATATAACTATATTTAAATGTGTAAAGAGACTTGCCACTTCAACACATCTATACCTTTGTTATCTATGCAGATTCTAATCTGCGCATGTTAGAAACACAGAGTTCAGGAATGTTTTTTTGGTTGTAGGTGAGAGTTAACTCTATAGTAGAACGGAAAACACTAGTCTATTTTGTGCCTCTTTAGAATACTTTAATTACCACTGAGGTTCTCTTTCACATTTCCCTAAAGACAGCTTATAAAACAAACTGTAAAACATTATCTATTTAATACATACCAGTATTTACTGTAAGTTTAATAATAGTCATATTGGAGGTGTTTTACCTTCCACATGGCACACAGCAGATAACCAAGTGTCCAAATCTGGAAGAACCAATTTCTTAAAAGTAACTGAATTTATCCATGTATTAGAGGTCATATGCATATGACAAAGAATGTCACATTAAATTATGCCTGTATTATGCTTCCATTAGATTAGACCTACATTAGATTTCTAAACCTTCAAACATACTTGAATCTGTTTGACAGTTTCTAGAAAACAAACATTAAAATCAACATCTTAGACATACATATTTGTAGGGTATTTCATATGCTTTTAAAGTAATCAAATTTTACATTAACATTTTTCCAAACTGATTTTCACACTTAAATACAATGCTCAGAATCATTATACTATTGTCAGCATTCACAATGGAAAATAATATCAAATTCACAACTGAAAATTGAATATTCTGTGATTTTCAACAATAGCTTCCCAGTAACTCATCTGTAATTTTACATGTTTTCACTAAAGTTACCTTACAGATTCACAGAATCAGATAAACCTGGATAATTTGTTCCAGTATTTTTCATTGCTGTTTGCCTCAAAGTACTGTAATTGAATTTGAATGCTCTGAATAATTTGTGTCATTAGTGTGCTCAGAATCATGAGATTATAAGCATCAAATATTACAGCTGCATGTACTTCCCATAAAAAAAAACTTAACAACACTGTTTTTTTAAGCTTTTCTTTCATAAGAAATCTTAAATTTTACATGTCCAATGGTACCGCCTACAACTGAGGTTAAACAAGTTTATATTCAGAATTTATTTGGAAACAGAGATGTTAACCCAGTATAAAATGCATATAAAGACTGATCTTTTAATCAAAACACTTGGCAAATCAATACTATATAGATACCCTCAATCTACCACTTCTCTGTATCATAAAACAGAACATGGTGACTTTGTGAAATTTACCCCTAGATTTCCAAAGTGCTCAAAACAGTAAGTCAGAAAAGCAAAAAGTCATGTTATCACCACGCAAGCAAATTCCCCATTAGTATCACTGCTATAAAGCAGGTTTTTTGTTTCACTGGAAAAAAGTAGATATGCTCTAAAATATCAACCATTAGGAATGGACCACTCAATGCAGAACAAACCACAGCTAGTTTGTAATATACTGAAGCAACCCATACATGGCAACTGCCTCAAGATGCCACTTTAGGACAAGAATCAGAAAATACTAAATATTACTAAACATAGTTCAAAATATGTAACTATATAGTTTTCTGTATACAGAAGTAGAAGATTTCTGTAAAAAAACTACTTCAAATGTTGACATTTAATGACAGCTGATTGGCAAGTCTTTGGTTGTGTCTCACCTAAATTCTGTAGTTGCACAACTCTGGAATTCATTCAGTGTGCACTCAAGTTGAGAGACAGGCGAGTCATGTGTTCAGATGTTTCCCTGCTATTAACAGGAAGATGCCAGACACTGAGCTTCAGATCCCACAGCATCAAAGGAATCACCATGCAGTCACCTATAATCTGGTTACTAGACAGGCAACTTAAGATTTCTGTGGGTAAATAAATTATATGCCTATAGCTAAGGGCCAATTAAGTACTGATCCTATATAATGTTAACTACCCCAGAAAATCAAACCAACTTATGCCAAGGTCATAATCATGGCACACAAGGCATATACTATTTTTAATTTCATATCCTTTCACAATTAAGGCCCTTAAAAAGAAATAAAAAAAGAAAAAAACCCAAACCAAACAAAACAAAAAAAACCACCAACAAACCGCCAGCCAAAATAGCCAGATTTTACTTCCTAATACTATACCATAATATCCCTATTACTCCACTTTTCTCTAGTGACTTCTTAACTCTCCTTCTCTACTATATTCAAACCATGTCTCCCACCATATCCTGAAGTTCTCCTTATGTTCCCCAGCTAAAGCGAGGACACACTAGGACAGATTCCAAGCTACACATGTTCTACACTGGACAGCAAGAGACCAAACACAAAGGATAACCGAGCTCATAACTAAAACCTTACTCAGCACTCATCCTTTCCATCCAGCAGCTTTAAAAAATACCCAAGAAATTAATCACCTTAGGCACACATACCTCTATTAAGTTGCCATACTGGATCAACAGGTTACTAGAGACAATGCTACTTAGAATGTCAGGCAACTGTATAATTTATTTTTGTCAGTAAACCAAGTTAAAAGCTATTTTTGTTATGAACTAAGGAAACAAGCAAAAGAGCTAGCTGCTGTGTCACAAAGAATATACCTTACATTGAAAGGAAATGAATGAAAAAAACTAATGTCTTCTTATGTTAGCAGTACATCCCGAAATAATCTCAGCAAAGAGATCAACATCTTAAATTTTAAGATGCAAGCATAAAATTAAAGTAATGTTAAACAAGGAAAAAAAACCAACTATGAAAAGGTTAAAAAAATGTATTAAGATAGATTAAATTTTTAGCATAATATTTTTTGGGGAAAACACACCTCTCTGTCAGCAAAATGACTTCTAATTAAATTCTTTAAAATGGTACAAGATGATGTTCTTCAGGTAAATAGACAGAGCCATTTGGTACAATGAAATAAATGAGATGAAAGCAGGCCATCTTTTCCGAGAACATCTTACTAAGGTTTAGCCTTCACTGCATCTTAATGCCCTTGCTCAGAAGAGAGTAATACTCTGCATAAATGAAAACTAAAGATTAAAAACATCCCTTCTGGTCTTTTACTTCAAAGCTTGTCATCTATGGAAGCTGGAGAAGTTACTTCATTAACTTTTGACACTGCGTTCCAAATCTGGGAACCTCCCCTACACAAACACCCCAAAACAAAGAAAAACTGCCTCTTGTGTCTCCAATATTTTAACATTCACACAAAACGTTACTGGACTACCTACAGAGAAACAGTGACATGACAATGGAAATTAGCTATCAAACCTGAAAAGAAAGAAGTAGAAAAAAAAAACTGGAGTTGCTTGCCCCTCTAATTTAATTTATAATGATCTAAGCTGACAGTACTAAAATATTACATAAAATATATACTATTTTATAAAATACGCTGTATGTAATAAAACATATTTAAGAAAGTGTTAGGGAATGCCTCTAAAACCAGGAAGAAATTAGGAGAGCAAGGGCAAGGGAAAGATAAATAAAAAATATGTCTCTTCCAGCTATGACGTTTTTGTGACACAAAAGTATGCATCTGTTGTGTGCAGCATTCTACTGTTGTGGTGTAGAGACTGACACAACAGCTTAGGGAATTAAAAAGAATTAGGACATAAATGGCTGAAAAAATAGAATACTAACATAAGAAATAATACATGATGAAGCAACAAAATGATACAACATGATGTGGATCAAATCCATGAGTGACTTAGGGACAAGACGACACTAGAGGTGTGGGGATAACATAGTTCCAGCTCATGGAAGTAAATACTGTACTCAAGATGGTAGGAAAACCAGACAGTTAAAAAAAAATACCCAAACCTGTCCAAAATGGAATGACAAATGTTGAGGGCAAT